AACATCACCGGCGAGAGCATCGCCGCCGCCGCCGGCGAAGATCGGCGTCGGGCCATAGGCGCAGGCGCCGCAGCCGCACGCCCCACCAACCGGTGGGCAGAAGGCCAGCAGCGTCGCAACCGGCAGCAAGGAGGCCAACAGCGTCTCCTCCAGGTGAAAGACCTCCTGGGCAGTGGATGCCGTAGCCACCGCCACCAAGCCCGAGTCCTTCCAGGACGCGCTGTTCCACCTCTCTCTGCAGCCGAATATTTCTTATTAGTCCACCAGGAGCCGAATAGCATATTCAGCCGTTCGGCGATGGGCGATTTTGAGATCAGCAAGAAAGGATATTGTCATGAAGTATCTGGTATAGCAATGCTGCTTGCAATCGCTGGCCCAAAAAGCCCGCAACATCACCCATTGATTCGTATAACAAGCATGGAGGGCACATAAACGTTAGCTCCGCTACCCGCGTATATACAGCTCGCACGAGTTGTGCTCTTGCAAGTTCACACATGCGGTCAGAAAACACAGCAAATAACGCTAACTCACCATCGTGCTCTTGCAAGTTCACACATGCGGTCAGAAAACACAGCAAATAACGCTAACTCACTCTTGTGCTCTTGCAAGTTCACACATGCGGTCAGAAAACACAGCAAATAACGCTAACTCACTTTGCCTTTTGACAGCTGCCATGCAGAAAAAACGATTCGCCTTAAAAAAGAGCGAGAGAGAGAGAGAGAGATCTATACATATACATATATATTCCTCTCTCTCTCTCTCTCGATATTAATATGTGTATATATGTCTATATATATATATGGGGGCTCCCTGGTTGATGGGCACGGGAATTTGTGGTTGAAAGGGCTGTGCAATGTGTGAGGCCCCGCATCCCCCTAATACTAGTTAGACATTCCCTATATATTCTAATATATACCCCAATAGATTATATTGACATATCCTAGTAATAAATTTCAGCATTGGGGGGATGAGGGGGTTTTGGAGGTTTCGACATTATCCTCTGCATGCGGCACGTCCCAGGATGAGTTATTACTCCTTGTATGGTATTACAAAATATTGTTAGGGGTTATATTGGGGAACTCTGCAAGGTGTAATAACCCATCCTGGCCCTGGAGAATGCTCCTTTTAGGGTTTAGGGCTTAGAGGGTTTAGGGTTTAGGGTTTAGGGTATTATAGGGTTTAGGGGAGACATGTTTCTTTGTAACCCCGAGACATGGAAAGAAGAAATCCAACTGAAGGGGTGCCGGGAAGTTCTAGAAATCCCCAATCCTGCGGATCTGCTTCGTTGTTTTTCAGCGCCACTTCAAGCAAACTTGTAGGGCGTACTTGAAGCACACGTGTTTGGCCAAGTGTGCTGGATGCGAGCGAGAGGCTAGCTGTTTAATCCTTCTTACCATGTCTTCGTTAACGTAATTATGGGTGTATCTCGGATTAAGCAGCCCCCCGTCCAGGAAAACATGCTCACAAAAGTGATGCTTAGGCCTGACTGGCCATCGGCATTGGGACTTTGCTAGGGCTTCTTGCCCTAGCCTATCATGTCCACTCCTCCAAATCAAATACATTTGTCGCAGCTCCATCACGGCTTCGACCGTGAAAGCCCGACCGTGAACAGCATATTTCCTCCATTCTCGCCAAGGCCATAATGACCCCGGCCCGAAGCCTTAAATGATGACAAGATTGAATTCCGGGATTGTATTGGGTCACGGGTTCAATTATTGGGGCTTGGTTCTTTTACGGCTTGGCGCTTAGGATTAATTTCTCCTATGGCGTTGGCTTGGCTCAGTATGGCTTGAGGGGATAACTATGCGTCAAGAAATAGGCTGGCTTGAAAAATGGGAACCCCGCACATTCGATTCTCGATTTGGATTGAGAAAAATGAATGCAGCAAAGTGGCTGGTAGAATGGATTTTCGGGATTCGCTTCCAGTAAGGATCGCATTAACTGCGCCATCCAAAACATGCAAAACCTTGCGGCTGCCGCCGACATCACCCGTTGACTGATGGCGATGTATTCCCTGGAGCTGGGCTTGAGGACGGACGATGTGAACATTTTGCGAGACGCACGGTCCGGAATTCCAGCGTAGAAAATGTGTTTGTATATAAACCCTTATAAACTCTAAACCCTTAATCCCTAAACCCTAAACCGTATACATCAAGAAAAGGGTACCTCCAACCAATCAAATTCTAGAATTGCAAATTTCTCATGCTCGGTGGCTTTGACTGTCGCACCATTCTTTGTAAGAAGCCCACAGGTCAGATAAGTCAGTTTCTCGTCGAGGACCATCGGACAGATCCAGCAGCAGTGAGGATATGCAATCCGGAAACGTTGCTAAATGCAATAGATGCATTGTGTCGCCATAGACCCCTTGGATAGGGATGGTATATTACATGTACAACAAAAGAAAAGAATTATTGTAACAAAAACAGTTGTTACAAGCAAACTGCGGTAATCATTAACAAGTATCTCCAAGGACTGAAGCCCGGGATCTGAGTCATAGGACTCCGCCCGTGAATCCTCATAAACTCTTCTGCTCCACTTATGAGCCTAGGTTTCTTTTTAACACATTCAGGCGCCAAACATTTATCAAAACCAAACGAAACCGGGGAAAGTTTAACTCTTAAGGGTCTACAGGTTTGCCCTAGCTGCTCATTTTATGAATAATGTTCATAACTTCCGACTTTTGGGTTCCATCACTACATTTAATTCGGGGTTTCAAATTTGCCAAGCGTCGTTTCGCGATGCCTGGCATTCGGTCCATAGTTGGTATAAAGTAACTCCGGGCTATTGCTGACCCCATCTGGATCGACATCGCCCTGTTCATAGATCCATTGAACTGCCTGCGGGAGGAATTGGGATAATAGGGTTAGGAGCTTCCTTAAGGATTACCAGGTTAGAACCCTGGCCTCGCGCAAGAAACAAACCTGTTTTCGCGTATAATCGCCTAAGTACAAACCGCCAGATACAGTGAGCTCCCATCTAGCTATATGTTTGGACGGATTCAGATTGCATCCCAACATGCCAGGTCCACAGGTTCTTTATTAGACAAGAAGCGCTGGAGCCCAAATAGTTTTTTGGCAAACTCCCAATCACATTGAATACCGTCGAACACACCGATGAAGCCTTGTGCCAGGGGCCGATTGGCCAATTTAAGTCTGTCTGGGCAATAGTGTCGCGAAAATTTCCGGTGCCACGGGTCTTCGGCCGGAAATACTCCAATACCTTGGTGCGAATAGCTGGGAATGTCTAGCAAATACCTCAGGTACCCATAAGTTTGGCAAGCGTCTCAGCGCTTCAAAGGACCACTGGATGACCCGAAGGATCTTGCTTCTGGATTCATCACCATGGTAGTTCATGTTCACGCACGACAACCTTCAGGAGTGAACAGCTAGGAGTGAGGATATCTAATTTGAACATGCAGATGGGCAGCAGGAACCGGCTGCTCGTGGTAGCCGAAGAACCAAGTGGCGCTATCATGGTAAGGATCTCAAATCGATGCTTGCCTCAGGGCATATATAGGAAGCAACTCGGAACAGGATTCCAAACACTATCGTTGCAAACAGAGAGCGAGTAAATTCTGCTCCATCACCGTAGAATCTGAGAGGCACAGCGAAGCCCCAGTCATGGCAGGCCTGCACATGCAATTCCAATCATACCATGTGTCTCCGATTTGAGCTATGGAGCCTGGAGTATGGGGTGCGAAGCCGTCCAATCTTCATCCTGCTGCATCCAATACTCTCGAACCTTGGTTGGGCGATGTTGTAATAATGTACATAAGACATGTAGATTGCAAGCAAGTAGCTGCGTCCGCTCCAGGCCAAAGTAAATCAAAGTGATTCGAAGAATACAAATTTGCGAAGATCTCGTGGGGAAGGAACATATGATGCTTAACATCTCGTTCGGTTCTTCCAAATGCATCTGCGTAAACCTGAGAGGAACTTTGCTCTCGGCATGCTAATCTACACTATAGTAGTACATGGCAAGATCTTGAGGCCCTTACTGCTTTCAATTGGATCCTTAACTGCGCCCGAAGGAATCAGGGTGGAATTCAGGACTTGGGTCTAGATTTGGGACATGCAACTTTTAAATCAAGCATCTGAAATGTGTGCGGCAATGCTTTCCGCCAAGGTTGCTTATTCACCCATCTCTCCAGCTCCCGTAATTGCCCCCAACTTTTTCTGGTCTCGCGGAAGGCGGTGGCCAGGTCCAGTAGATCACTCCTGTTGAAAAAGTGTAGGATGGAGGGTTGAGGATTTAGGGAGGGTGAAGGGTTTAGGGGTGAATCAAATGCCTCCGAAATCCAAATCAAGCTTAGTTGCGGCACCATATCATGGGGGAGCTCGTAAAGCCTTTTCAAATCTTTCGCCAGCTCAGCAAGTGGGACCTGCCAAAGGTAAGGTATGTACGTTGGGGTGTATTCAAGCTTCTACGTGATCAAATCCCGCCTGGCCCAAAGAAAGTAGTTCTAGAGCATGATCACAAGTGTCTTTGACATAGGATCGTACCCATTCCGAGGAAGCAGAATCTGTAGCCATGAAATCGCATGGGATCAACTTTTTATGCTCGCGAGTGCTCAGCTAAGAATGATTGACTTAGCTCATGGTGCTGGGTGGGGCTGCAGATGGAGCACAGGCTGCGGAAATATTATGTGTTGGATCCGGGGTTTCTCAGCGGGGAGGCTTGCTTGCGGTATCCTCAGGATACAAGCAGATAAAACTCCATTATATAGGAAGCTTGAACAACATATTGGGGCCCTGACGCTTTGCGTGGGCAAGCTTGATCCATCCAAGGCATATATGTGCAGCGCTGGCCGCGGTGGCAACATGGATCAGACGCAGGCACGCACACACACACAACTGGTACCGTGGCAATTACTTTTGTTTCCCCTAGCTGGTTGCGATTCGATCACCCGCTCTGTGTGAGGGCCCCACAGGCAGGTTCATGATCTGCTGAATCCAGAATGTGTTCACTACACATCTAGAGGCAGTGCGTCAGCGCATCCCCCGAGCTAGGTAGCTGTGTTGCTGAGAGCCTTTTTTCGGAGACTTGCAAAGCCTACTTGCAACTTAAGCTGTAGCTCGTGGGTTGCACCCTGCATTCCCCAAAGTCCCCATCCAGGACCTACATGTCTTTGACCTAGTGCCTGCTTCTCTTGGCAGGCTGCTGCAGCTCGCCGTCGTCCCAATCATCATCATGATGAGGCTCGGAATAATAGCCTTCATTTTCATCAACATGATCCATCGTATCATCAGCATCACCATCAAGGTTGTCATCGTCACCATCCTCCTGGGCTTCTTGTTTTTTTCTTCTTCTCCGCTTCCTTCTCCTCTTTGCGCTTCATCGCAGCCACACCTTGTAAATGATGATGGGGATTTGTGATTATGCTATGAGTTAACTGCACATGTTAGGCAAGAAGCGACGCAGATGACCATTCATTATATTCTCTGCTTCCGTGACTTCATCTTGGAAGCCCTGACGCAATCACAGTTGGAGTGAAAAACTTCAGACAGAGTGGGGCAACAAATGTCCTCCAATCGTTTCCTTTCCGCATCCAAGGCAGCGATGCAGTCATAGAGCGGAGCGCTCGCGAAGATCATTCTCTGAATCCTGGCAGGGTTGGGCTTTCAAGTATAGGATTCAGGCAAATATAGGAATCGCAAGTTTGGGGCACACGGGGTCCAGGTAGGGTTTGGGGATAAGGTAGGGTTTGGGTAAAGGTAGGGTTTGGGTATAAGGTAGGATTTGGATTCAGGGTCTATAGGTAGGGTTGGGGGTACTGAGCTCAAAGTTTAATACTTCCAAACCTGGAGTGGATCTCCGCCGCTTCTGTCGCAATCTTTCCAAGATTCTTCACATTGTCCTAGCCAGGGATGATGAACACTTGAAGTGTATATCCTGACTGAAAAACACTTGATCAAACTTGAACGGGACCTTCTGATTCTTTACACCGCAATTTGCCAAGCCGGTTGCCACGCCACTCGCCTTGTTCGCGAGATCTCGTATCCTTAGCCACAGTACGTTCCGCACACATGGTACATTGAACACGTGAAGAGTCAAGCCCAATTTCTAAGTTGAAGGTCTGGGGGCCCGACGCATTGTTGTCTCGGTTGAAGTCGCGTTTGTCCTTCTCCTCCTGGGTGAGCTCCTGGCGAGTATAGGGTTTACTGGAGACATAGGTTTTAAATAGGGTCTACGGTAATTAGATTACGAAGAATGATAACTGGTCCTTCTTGGGCTTCTGGGGCTTCTTGCCCTCTGCTGACTGGGCTGGCTTCCCCATGGATGCCACTTTAGACTCCAACGTTTCAGCAAGGGCCGCTCGCTCTGCTTTGTTTGTTGACGGGCTGGCGGTCACAGATGTCTTGCTCCCCACCCGGGAGATGTTGGCACCTAGGATGTCTAGAGCGCTGCAGCTGGGTCACCTCAACACGTATTTGCAACCAAGCCGCTGGTGATATCCACCCCAACATATACCTTATAGATCTTCATCTCGTCGTCCGAGGACTGCGGATGCTTCCTGCCCTTTTGGCCTCACGATGGTGGTTTCTTTGCTGAGTTAAGTGATAATAGAAGTAAATAGCACAATAATACCAACAAAGAATAGTGGAAGATTGAATTTCGATCAAGCTGCTTTGGATTATGTCCTTTACGAACTGCTTCCCTCCTGGGAGGGGCTCGTACTTCTGCCTTATCAGGCATAGCGGCATCTCGGTGAACTTCTCCTTGGACTTATCTTCGCTCAACCTCAGATAATTGATGTAACAAAGTATCATTTGTGTGTTGGGGAAAGTATAGACTAGATTCAGCCTTGAAGCTCTTCATAGTAGGGCTGCACTTTGATGCTGGTCATGTCCCGATCCAAAAGGAATGCTTTCAGAAACTGGAACCTTAGTTTGGATTTGCATTGCTGTGGTTGAAATAGATAAACATGAGTCGAGCCGCTTTTCGCCAGAATCGCGGGTAGCTGACCATTGAGCCACCAATCCTTTCTTTAAGCCTGCCGGGTAAGGGGATACAAATCATGTTTCTACATGTGGATCAAGATGGAACTTCTTATAAATTAAAGGGACCCAAGCCTTGCCCGTTCTGCATCCGACGCCTCAGCCCCTCGTTAAGTCTCTTCCGCTCCGCCAGCGGGATGTCTTCAGGTCCAGCCAGGGCCTGCTCTCTATAGGTACACGGGTAATAGTCTCCAAAGAAGCTAACTCAAATCATCCCAGGTTCATGGCGCCTCGATTGCTGCCCGCTCTTCGGGAGACAGCCGCCGGACCTGCTGGGACTTGGCACACAACTATCTCGGCTGCAAGAGAGATTGAAACCTGCATTGATCTGAAAGCCATGTTGATTTAGCCAAGCCAAGCTGCTTCATTGGGGCTGCCGTTGAAAGTAAAGGCTTTAGCCAAAGGCTTCAGCTGGACTGCACCTTCTCCGTTGCTCATGTTGGAAATTCCGGTGTCACTGCGAGCGAGCTTCCTTGCAAACCAGTCATGTGCAACATATGTTGAGGGTGGCACCTGAGGTTATCATATCTCGACAAGAGACTCTGCATCGCTGTTTGGGGACGCTGTGGTGCTGTCTCCTGCATTCAATTTGATTAGACACATAGGTGGGGAACCCTTAGAAAAAGGAATCAAATAGTGGAGCTATTAATAGGTCATGAAGAATGGTAGTAAGTAAGAGCTCCTGAGTGAGAAGACCCAAAGGAGCATCTTCTTCGGACGGAGTCAGGCTCTTCCCGCGACAACAAAGAATCGCACGAAGCAGCACGTTTGACACCCTGGGTGCCAGTACCTTTGCCCTTATCCGTAGGCACCTTACCCTTCACGGCTTTCCCTTTGCATTTGCCTGACCCTTTTGTAGCCGATCCACCACTGGACTTGCTTGAATCGCTTGAATCAGGAGTGCTTGCTTCGCTCGGGTTGGGGCGAACGCTGTTCGGGGAACCATCAGGAACAAGCATCCCCTTCTGCAAACCTTTGCTAGGAGGGCTGGAGGTATCACGGATAGCAGGAGGGCTGTTGCATGGTGCAGGCGCCATACTGTCTAAGGACTCAAGCTTTGCCAAGCCGGCCCCGCCCGTGACGTGTGATCCGTCAGCAGCCAAGGCACTCGCTGGCGATATCGGCTCCGCGGCTGGGCGTGGAGACTTGGCATTGACTGCTACATCTGTTGTGGTGCCTTTGCCTTTCTTTCCTTTGGCAGGGGAATCGGGCTGCTGCTGGGAAACCTTCGACTTTCCTTTGGCGGGGGAATCGGGCTGCTGCTGGGAACCCTTCTTCGACTTTCCTTTGGCGGGGGAATCGGGCTGCTGCTGGGAAACCTTCGACTTTCCTTTGGCGGGGGAATCGGGCTGCTGCTGGGAAACCTTTGACTTTCCTTTGGCGGGGGAATCGGGCTGCTGCTGAGAAACCTTTGACTTTCCTTTGCCATTGGAATCCGGCTGCTGCTGGGAAACCTTTGACTTTCCTTTGCCATTGGAATCCGGCTGCTGCTGGGCAACCTTTGACTTTCCTTTGGCAGGGGAATCGACGGGCTGCTGCTGGGAAACCTTTGACTTTCCTTTGGCAGGGGAATCGGCGGGCTGCTGGGAACCCTTCTTGGACTTTCCTTTGGCAGGGGAATCCGGCTGCTGCTGGGAAACCTTTGACTTTCCTTTGGCAGGGGAATCGACGGGCTGCTGGGAATCCTTCGACTTTCCTTTGGCGTTGGGATCAGGCTGCTGCTGGGCAACCTTTGACTTTCCTTTGGCGGGGGGCTGGACGGGAGCTGCAAACGCAGTCGTGCTTTCGGAAGCTTCGTCGCTCGTAGGGGTTGAATTTACAGCTTTGCCATTTCCCTTGGCGGGAGTGGCTGTCTTCCCTTTGAGAGCTCCTTTGCCGTTCTTCCCTTTTGTGAGGGAAGCATCCTTACCATGTCCTTTGCCGTCAGGGGGCCCGGGGATTGCCGCACGCTTGCCCTTTCCTTTGCCTGTAGCGGGAGCGGCTTTAGATTTACCCTCACCCTTGTTGGCCAAGGATGAAGCGGGCGCAGCGGCCACCTGGGGCGCACCTTGTTTGGCAGTAGAGCTTTCCATTGCGAAGCAACCTAGTATAGGTCCTGACAAATCCTGGAAGAAGCCGCATCGGCTGCAGAGTTGTGATTCAGAATTCGCAAAATCTGGGAAAGGCGGTACACGGTGATACACGGTATTAGGCTCTTCTATAAGGTCAAATACACGGGGATACACGGTGATACACGGTCCACTCCGCGCCAGAATTTTTCCGCTGACTTCGCGAAGAAGCCAATTACTGGATCCCCGTGAGTAGGTATAGCTCCCCCTCGCTGGCATTTGACCCTTGCTTGGGACTATTAATACCATATATAGGGAAACACCTCAGAACCTCGCCCGGCAATTCCGTAACTACCGCATGCGCGATTAGCAAGGGTCAATTGGCTGCCATCCCATATAAGGTGACCCCAATCTACACAGTAGGTCACATGACAGGCCCCTTGAAAATCTCATCTAAGCCTGAGTCAGAATCAGTATCAGGGCCGCAGTCGAAGAACCTTAGCCTGCCCTCATCCTTTACCATTTCCGGCTTGAGCTTCGCCAAGTGCTCTGACAACAGCTCCGCCACCTACATGGACAAGGGTATGATTATGTGGGAAGACCCTTTAAGAGGTATGCATCCAGGTGGAAGCCCAAGCCTTGAGTCCCATGGTACCCGGATATGTCCCAGTAGCCCGCAGGTCTCTGCCACCAGACTTGGTTGATGAGTTATCTAGCAAGCATCACTGCAGAAACACTAAAGCCAGAAGCCCCATTAGTTTAAACACACTTGCCAACACACATGGAAGAAAGATTCCAGCTTCAAGCTTCAGAGGCTTCTATTTCAGATGAAGGCATTACATATATTGTGGTGTCAACCAAGGAGCGACGCGCTTCTTGCCACGCTTGTCGATGTATGTCCGGCATACATCAAGCTTGAGGAAAGACTTGATCCGGGCCAGCTGTTGCCTGGCACAGAGTCAAGGTAGACACATGGGGTTTCGGGCATCAAGTGAATTCCGGAATTTACAGTCCTGCGTGCAGGGTCCAGCTGCAAGCCCAGCTTCTTCATGAAGGGAGCTGTTCCCCATAAGGAAACCTCGGATTGGTTTAGATGAATGGATTAGCAGTCGCACAAACACCCACGTGCATGTATAGGCCACGTAGACAAGCTGCGCATTTGGCGGTAGGGGCCCCAATGGCACCAAGAGAAATATTCACTCCCACCGCTCCATGAGCTCGTAGCCGAGACTGCACCATTGTCATTGCGATGCATCAGAGCCACGCACACTAATCCCAACCCAGTGGCCTTGATAGCCGGGAACTCGAACAGCAACGAGTTGACAGGGTTTTCCAGGATATAGTGATGGCCAGCGCGGTGATGGTACTCAAGCCTTATATACAGCAAGTACACATCCAAGGCACGTGGGCAATCTATCGTTTGCAGCCAGGCAGCATGTAACTGACTCGCCTGGCCAGGCGGTTTGCAGCTTTCACCTTTTGCATCCGCTTGAGGCCTTCAGGGGAGAAATGTTCGGCATATGATTTTCACACGAAGAGAAACTGAAGACACAATCCCACCTTTCACATTTAGGCGGCGGCGCCCTGAAGTACCTCTGTTCCTTGAAGGCAGCATAACAGCATGATTTGCGAGACCAGGATAGGATTAGAAGTATTGTGTACTTGCTAATATGCCAGGGATCACAAAGCACCAGCTTGAGCACGGCGCGGCATACCATGCCACTCCTTTATGACGAAGCCTCCTCGCCTCAACCAAATACCCCAAAGTCCCAAGCAGCACATGACATGCGCGAACCAATCTTGAAGGCCAGAAGCGTTGAATAAAAACACAATGAATCCGAACGCTGTGAGGATGTCGAGCTTGCGACTGTAAAGGATCTTGGTTTGATAGGTGCAAGGCACATATGTGGATCAGCCCATAGCGCATCAATCAGAAATAATTGCAAAGAAGTTGCATCAAGGGCATGGTCCTTAAGCCCTGACCCAAGTACCGCCGAACAGAGTATATGCTCGCCTGGCACCCAATAAGGTTATTATGAACTTGAGATAATGCACTGAGGGACAGCTAGCAGTCCTGAAAACAGCTCGAGAAAATCAAGCTTCTGCTCCGGCAAGACTGGTCCAAAGCCTCGTGTTGGGAATGTTTTGGAAGCTCTGCTTTCTAGCACAATGATTTGAATCTGGGGACCCTACTTGCAATCAGCACTGCCAAAGCCGGCGCAAGGCGGCTGTACTTCATGCTTGCTGCGAAGGAAGTAGATCGACCCAATGTGACATGCCAAGATAGCAGGATCTAAACCTAGAAGCCCTTCGATCTTACATCCTTGGAATGCACACTGTAGAGGCTCTACACTGGATGGCGCATGAGGTTCTTCAAACCCTTGAGCTCAAGCAATGAGGCAATCATAGTTTTTGCGAAAACTTCACACAAGCCACTGCATCCAAGGCTATACACGTGGGCTGCCAGCAGTGCACCTTTTGGCGGAGCAGGACGGCTCAACCCCATCACCGACTGCACACACATTCTCGATGTTCGAGATTCTAGGCTCTTAAAATCGCCTTCTCTTCCTTTCACTTGCGGACATGTTGCTCAAAACCGCTGCCCTTTCTGTGGAACACTTCCACCTGCAGGACTGAGCATAGGCCCCATGGAACCCCTAAGCTCATCTAAGCTCTAGGCCCTTTTATTATTAATATCATTATTAGTATGATTTGTGTTACTGGTACGCATTAAAACCCAAGCCTCTCCTCTCTGTCCTTTGCTGGAAGGTCTCGGAGCCTTAGCTGATGATTACGCCAACTCATGTCTTCGCAAGCCTATCGTTGAGCGATTTATTCTCTATCCTACCTTGCACCCAAGCAACGTTGCTACGAACGCTTTCTTGGCAGTGAGGTAAGCAGATTCGGTTTTGCACCCCGGGGCTGCTGTTGCTGCTGCTGCTGTCTGCTCTGTCGATGTAGCTGATGGTTCGGCCGTGCCCTGCTTGGTGGGCTTCGCTTTCGCCTTGCTTTTCCCCTTGGCAGTTGCCTTTACTTTGGCTGG